AAAGTCGTTAAAAATAAATCAAAATTACATCTGTAATAATTGAAAGCAGAAAATAAGAGAATTTAATTCTAGATTAAACCTAATAGTGTGACTATGAAAATAAAAACTGCAATAACTCAGCTAATTTTTAACGAATCCTGTTCAAAAAAATCTCATTCGACGCAGAATTAAATATTCCATAAAAACATGAACAGAAAAAAAACTATTCTAAATGAAATTGTGACAGTAAATTAGTGTTTAAGTTGAAAAATTACTTAAAAATTTACAATTTTTAATCATTTTTTTAAATTTTTCGGACTTTATTTTTAATTATAACAAAAAACACTTGTTAGGGTTAAAAAGCTCTTTTCTTCAGCTTTAAAATGAAAAAAAAATTATTAAATTTTGACTAAAAATGTTAAAGTTACAAGCTACTTTATACAAAAACTACACAAAAACGGTTTTTTTGCTCTAAAATTAAATTTTTGGGGTGTTTGAGAGATTTAATATACACCATTCTTTTCAGTTTTTCAAGACGAACAAGTTAGGGTAGGTCTGAATCAAAGTAATTTTTCACTGTAACACTGTTTTATTTGTTCGAATTAGTATTTTGCAAGAATTTTCATCAAAACGATTTTCTATATTACAGAATTTTTATATAACCGAAAATTCACTTCACAGAATTTCTAATTGATAGAATTTTCATTTGTCCAAAATTGCAAGTGGCCGAAAAAAATTCCGTTTAAAAATTATTATATCAAATAAAATTCTTTAAAATAAAACCTCTAATTATGTTTATGATTTAATATAATGCACCCCGAAAATTGTAATCATTTTACGGAAAAGTTTATAAATTCATTTCTTGATTTCACTATATATGTGACGCTCCACGAGAAAAAAGACTTTATGATAAAAAATTTTTAGGTTATATCTGTGATTTTTAAACTGAAAATACACACAAAAAAATTCTAATTAAACATTATTCTCATATTGAGGTGTAAAACAAAAAATAATTGTATAAAATAAACAGTCGAATAAAAAAAACTTTTTTTTTTTGAAAACAACGTAGAAGACATACTAACATGCGTGTTGATGATTGTCACAAAATATTAAAAGTAAGTTTATAATTCGCATATTTTTTTAATATTTAAAATAGTGTTTTTGCTGCTTCAAATTATTATTGAAACCACTTTTAATCAAAAAATAATTATGCAATTGAAATAACAATGGTATACATAGAAATAATAGATATTAAATTGCAGATGAAAAATAAAACATTGTCACCAGGGTTCGGAATGTAAATTACTATATGTGCAATTTACAGTGAAACGTCCAAAATGTGACAACACTTTTTTCGGGTAAATTTTTTAAAGGCGCTTACACACCTCACGAATTTACGGTATACAGAAATAATAGATACGATTTGTTTGCGGAAAATTTAAAATTAGATTTTTAATATTTCTATGAAAAATCAATGATATAAAGAATAAATTAAATTTAAGTTTATTTTATATTACAATTATAATTTATTATTTATTCATCATTTATTCTTCATATCATTGTATTTTTCATAGAAATATTTAACATCTAATTTTAAATTCTACGCTAGAAAATTGTATCTATTTTTTTCCTAAACCGTAAATTAGTGAGGTGTGTAAACACCTTTAAAAAAAATTCACTCGAAAAAACTGTCACATTTTGGACGTTTCACTGTAAATTGCACATAGAAATTTACATTCCGAACTCTGGTGACTGCATATATTATACCAGTTATCTGTCGTTTGCAGTTTAATATCAATTACTTCTATATAATATTATTGTTTCAATTGCATAATTATTTTGTGATTGATTGTGGTACGTTTCAATAATCATTTGATTTAATTAGTTTAAAAAAAAATTCAATTTCAATTACAATTTCTAAATCAATGATCTCAAAAATTTGTGTATCTCAAATTTTAAAGCAAATCAAATCAAAATCATTTTTTCTTAACTAGATTTTTAAAAAATTGATTGAAATTAAATTATTTTATATTTTTGTTTGCGTTAAAAACCATTTTGTAGTTTGAGGTTATATTGAGAAAAAAAATTAATTTGATTCAAATAATAAATTACTTTACTATTATCAAATAAATATGTGTAGTGCTCTGAAGAAAGGTATATAAAAAGCAAACGAATTATTTACTTTATATTTATGAGTTTTATTTTGATTAAAAGATCCTTTTTATTTATATGAAATCGAAATAAGTTTTTTTAAAATATTTTTTAATAACATTTTATAAATAAATAATATAAAAATCTATTAAATATAAAATTTTTTCAAAATAAAAATTATATTTAGAAACTACATTTTAAGACGAGAAAAACCCTTTTTTTTTAATTGCACGGAGAAGAAGAAAAAGTAATTTTTACTACTTTCAGAGTAAAACTGGACCAACTCGAAGTTTCTGCGCATCTCTGGCAATTTTTACTCCAAAAATAGTAAAATTTATTATTTCTGTAGTAAATTTTACTTTTTCCGTAGTAAGTTTTACTATTTCTAGAGTAAATTTTACTATTTTTGGAGTAAAAATTGCCAGAGATGGGCAGAAACTTCGAGTTGGTCCAGTTTTACTCTGAAAGTAGTAAAAGTTACTTTATAAAAGAAATCTTTTTTCTCCGTGTGGTGAACAGGAACTCGAGAAAAAAATTTTTTAAAATAAGACTGTAAAAAATTTCAATTGTTTATAACTTTAACAAAAATTTTTTTTTTGACCTAAAAATTTCAGGGACTTATCTTTACCATGTAAGGAGTCAAAAGAAATGATTTTTGATTAAAAAAAAAATTTCTGAATTTTAGGTGATCCGTTTGAGAAATTCTGACCCAGTGTAATTTCAAAACATAACCTAAAATTGATTTCTTCTTAGCTACCATTCTTCGGAGCGCGACACATATTATTTATTTGAACCAAATAATTTTTATTTCACGGAAAAAATTAATTCAGTATATTTTACAAAACTGTGACGGAGTAGCGGATACAGCTCTTTACGAAACTGAGTTTTGTAAAATGTGATGGATATTTTCGGATAAACTACAGAACTTTCGTTGTTTATGCTGAATATTTCTGGAGTTTATCCTGAATATTTCGTGACATTTTACAACACTCAGTTTCGTAAAGAGCTGTATCCGCTACTCCGTGATAGTTCTGTAAAATCTACTGAATTCATTTTTTCCGTGTTGAATTAAATAAATTGTATTTAATTCAATAATTTCTGTACTTGGACCAATAATTTCTGAAAAATTTAAAACAAATACTATTTAATTGACTAATAAATAATTATTTATTAAAAATAAATATTTATTTAAAAATATACGATTATTTGAATCAAATAAATTTTTTTTTTTTATTACCATCGCCTTCTTAGAGAAATTTGAAATAATTAAAAATATCTTGATGATGAAAACAGCTGTTTCAGCATCGTTTGTAATGTGTCATAGCTTCTGCAAATATTTTGTTTTGTACGGGGAAGATCGATGGTAAATGACTTGTACGATTTATTTAAAAATACCAAAACAAATGATTGGTATACACTGCAAAAATAAGTGACTTATTTGGTATCTTACAATAAGATGTAATATGGAAAAATGGTATCTTCCATCTTAAAAAAGATATTTTGTAAAGTATCTTATTAATATTTAAGATGCTTTTTGCATTTTAACAAGAATTAAAGTATTTCTTCTATCTTAAAATGTAAGTTACTTCGGTAAGTTTCTATAAGTAACTTGAAATAAGATATTTGTGGGGTCATAAGATGTTTAGAAAAAAGATGCTTGTAAATTCTAAGATACGTCAGAATTTGAAGTTACTAAAATATAAAATACATTAAGCATCTTACATAAGAGGCCATAGTTAACCTCAAAATTTTTTTTAACAAAAATATGTGAAGCACTTTGGCAAAGATATTATTCACATTTTAAACTAAGATATTTCAAACAACTAAAAAGTTACTACCAAAACATCTTAAAAATAACTACCAAAACATCTTATATTAAGATACTTCTTTTTGCAGTGTATATATAGTTGAACCATATAGCGAAATTTATGGCCTGAAATAACCCTCTAGCTGTCCGTAATCAATTATTATACTGAATTAAAGATTCGATTAAATTTGCCATATTAAATTTATCAAGCACTTCAATATAATAATAAATTATTCTCCTATAACTGTTATTAAGAACACAACTTTCCGCAGCATAATCTCGATATTATATATGCATATGTATTTAATAATACTATTTCCTCTATAATTTAACAATATATTCCCGATTATATCCGACCCTAATTTCTCTAATGTTAAATAATACTATATATATCCATTAACTAGAAATCAGATCAAAATTAAAATATATTTAGAAGTTTTTATGATTTCCCTAAAAGAAAGTCCCTGATTTCTATGAGTCTCGCAGAAAGTCACGCAATTACTTTTCTCGGTACGCTACACAGGGGAAATTAAAAGGAATTGTCATTGATGTCAATGCCGTTTTATTCATGATGGCCTTAATTTTTTTTAAATAAAGAAATGTATGCATGTTCATTAACCTATATCAATTTTAAGAATAATTTCTTTTTTTTTTTTTAAAGAAGATAAAAGAAGTCACAAATCAAAATCTTGGGACATTATCCCAACATCAGTATGTTAGGTTCAACACAATATATATACATATACAATCGTGCTGATTAATATCGACAAACGGTACAACACACGACTATCAATCTTACCTCTTATCGTATAAGATATTCGACATCCGAATTTTCTGCCTGATCTGAACATGTCTGCAGATATACTATCTTAATGCGAGTACGAAAGAAAAATCATGTTATGCATTTTATTTTAGCATACAGACAATATTTTTCAGTAGTCATTTCTTATATATATAGAAAAGAAATAATTAAATTTTTGTTTCATTTTAAAATGATAACATGATTTTATAGAGAGAAAAAAAAATTTAAAGCAATAACATTAAAAGCAAAAGCATAACTTACGTCATCAGAACTAGAATCATCACTGCTTCCGGCATCAATTATAACTGATACTTTAGTATCTGTTTTCTCGTTGTAATTTGTTTTTTCTTCTTTCTCAAAATTCACCATCAAATTTTCATTGTTTTTGCAAATATTATTTTCTAGGCCATTTTCATCCATTGTGGCAGCTTCAACCGTTGTCCATGAATCAAAATCAGATTTAAAATTTCCACCATTAATCATTCCATTTTGAATTGTATCGCATTTAGAAGCACAGTCTTGAGATTCATCTTTTATTAATTCTTGATCGATTTGACACGATACATTGATATCAGTCTTAATAAAATCAGAAAGGCACTCATTGTTATCGATAATTTTTTCAACTTTATTCTCCATCACTGACTTGTCTACTGAAAACAATTCACAAGTGTCTTTATTTGGAGAACAGTCTTTTTCATCAATTCCCGATGCCTCTTTTGACGATATCTCATTTCCCAAATCATAATTCGGAAGATAAGTGTCTTCTTCTGGTTTGTGGGAGGGACTATCATTTGTTGAATTTTCATTTAAAATTTCATTGAAATCATCTGAAAAATCATACTGAATCGAATTACCTGTATTTACATTTGACCACGTATTTGAATTTTCAACTATTTTCCTATCAGCTTCTGGAAGATCTGAGAAATTGTCTTCTTGGACAATCTCAACATTTTCCATATTTGATTTCTCTTCAACTATCACTTCCTCATTTTCGTATTTATCGTTTAAATTTTTATGAATATGATTCATTTCCGCAGATCCATTCAATAATTCATCAGCAGTCTGAGTTACTTTAAACGATTCATCAACATCATCAGAAACAATTTCTTTTTCACTGAATCTAACATCTGATTCTGATTCTAAAATCATTTCGTCATTTGTAAATTTTACTGTTTCAACATCGGCATTATCTTCAAGCATCTCATCTGAATTGAATTGATTCTTTGGATTTGATTCTGTGTGACCATTTTGATAACCATAGGGCTCTTCAATTAATGAATAATGATCTATTTCAGCTATGAGAAATTCTTCATTAACATCAAGTGGATTTGGTCTGGGTTCAAGGACAATTTTTTTAATTTCCGGTTGTACTTTAATAGAATCCTCATCATCTTCATCTTCAATTTCTTCCTCATCATTATTTCCAGAACAAATCCTAAGGGCTAATTCATTTTCTATCAATTCCTGAAGACTTTTGTCATCAGTATTGAGTTCATTTTTTGTATTATTTGATAAAATCAATTCATCCTCATCTTCATCGTCGTCGCAAAGTGAAATTAGCTGATTGTTACTCGTGCTTATGTTATCCAAATCAATCAAACTGTTGTTAGAAAGAACACTGCACACTTCGTTATTCTGTTTACTTACGACATTCATGGATTTCTTTGTCCCCACTTCGGCCATTCTAAGATGTATGGAATCTGAAACATAAAATTTCGAATATTCAATTTCAAGTAGACGCATAGAAAATTTTTTGCTGTGGCAGCGAACTATTTGCTGTCACATCAAATTACGTTAGCTAATATATAGGGACGACGAACAAATTTGCTGTGGGGTCAAAAAAAGTTTGCTGTGACAGTAAATTTTTAAAAATTAAGACTGATATTGTTTATTATAGCAAACTTTTTCACTGTCATAGCAAAAAAATTATCCTATAGCAAACATCAGTTAGCATTTATAGAGAATTTATTAAAGTGTTTTAAATTGAAATTTTTGGTAAATTTATTTGCTACTTTTTTTAATTTTAAACAATTATTGAATTTCATAAAATTTTTAATTGAAAAATAGTTTAAAATAATTAAATTTGTGAAGAATTTCATTAAAATTATTGAAAATATACTAAAAAATTAGTATTTTGTTTAAAAATTTTGTAAAAAATGTAATATTTATTTTTAAATTTATGGCCTTAGGTCCGTAAGTGTAAAAAATTTTAAAAAAAGTTAAAAACTTTTAGATGTATAAAAATTTACTCTTTATTTTCTTTCCCTCTAATGCATTTTCGTTGCGAACGCAGCTCATCAGGACTACAAGAAATTTATAAAATTATTATTATATTAATTCAATTCTAAAAAAATGGTTTTTTTCTAATAATAATTTTATAAATTTCTTGTAGTCCTGATGAGCTGCGTTTGCAACGAAAATGCATTAGAGGGAAAGAAAATAAAGACTAAATTTTAAACTTTTTTTAAAAATTTTTTACACTTACGGACCTAAGGCCATAAATTTAAAAATATTTATTTCAAATTAAGGTCCTAAAAAGAATAAAATACTGAGTAAAAAATAAGTCGAAAAAAGTCGTACAATCCGAGGTTTGTATTAGTTTGAGGATAATTTTATTTTAAGAATTTAATTGTTTTCTTTGCGACATTCGACGATGTGCTTTCGATTATTGAACCTGTCTAAATTTAAAGTTAAGATAATGCTGCCAAAAATTCATTCTTAGGCGATGGTCATTTACCTTTCATTGACAACAACTTTTAATTTCTAGCGTAATTTCTATATAGAATAATATAAAGTAGAGTCTAAATATATCAGAGCATTACACGTGAGATTTTCATTAAAATAATTTTTTTCACTGGAACATTTTTTTCAAAATCTTTATAAGAAATAAGAAAATAAATACTTTAAAATTTTTTGATTTAATAAAAGTGATAAAAGTTGTGTTCTTTTTAAATTTAACATCATCAGAAACAGGGTGCTCTTGAAACCAATTTTAAAATTCTATTTACACAAAATTGTATTTTAAAAATTCAATATGGCGGATGCAGCATGACATTTTTAAAAAATGATTTTAAATAAATGATCAGATCTGCTTGAAACTGTATGGTTATTCGGGGACTTTTAGGATCGATGATTACAAATCCGATGTCAGTTTTTTAAAAATTCAAAATGGGATAATTTTACGTGGCTGAGGCCGAGACTAAAAATAAATTAAAGTTAGTGATTTTTTAAAAGTAAATAATGTTGATTTTCTACTAATAAATAAATAAATATCTGTTTGTACATACGACTACTATTTACATAGAAATCGCAATGCAGATATAGCAGTTCACAGATGCATACGACCTATCAAGATCTCGTCAAGTGTTTCGTTTGAATCCTAGCACTCTGAAGGGGTAAAAGTATCTAATTATATATTTCAAGTACATACATATATATATCGACACGTCAATGTAATACTTAATGAGTGTCTGCACTCAGGCGAATTTATTCATTCGAAAACATCGTTATTCCAAGTAATTCATATTTTTACCAAAACAGGCCAAGGATTTTCACATATGGAAATTCAAGGTGTATTTATGAGAATTCAATTCTTAATATGTTAACTTTATAATCTTGAATGTTATAATTACTTCTGAAATCGCAATTTTTAATTAAACGATCATTTCAAAGTTACAAATTCATTTTAAAAAAAAAATTTATTATTTTCTATATGGATACACAATAAACTATGAGTTATTAAAATATTGTCAAGGAAGTTAAAATAGCTTTGCTCGACTTGTGCAAAAATTCATTTTTTTAAAAACTAAAAATTCCGAGCTAAAAAAATTTTAAAAAACATTTTTAAAATGTCCAAAATTAAAAATTAAAAAAAAAATTATATTGTGCCAAATTGTGTTCTTTTGATTAATTATGACATAAAAAATTTTAAAACGAAAGTTTTTGTTCCAAAATTTCTTAAGGCTGAAGTCCGCAACGTTTTCAAAAACGATAAATTAAAATAGAATTATTTTTTCATGTCAATTTATCTCTAATTTTGATTTGCACAAACTTTCAAGAAATTAATATTTTTATAAAAACCAGTAACCCCCGAATAACTTTAATTTTAACCAAAATTAATAGATATTGTCTAATTATTTTTTTGTTTTCGTTTATAAAAACGTTGCTGACTATTCATCATCATGAAAAAATATTATTTTGCCCTGAAAATGACAATTTTTTCAAAAAAGCACAAGTCACGCAGAATTTAGCACATTTGTGTGTTTGTTTTTTTTTAAATTTTAATTTTAGTAATTTTAAAAATGTTTTTGAATTTTATTGCCCGGAAATTTGAGTTTTTCCAAAACTGAATTTCTGCACAAAGAAGCATAAGACGAGCATAATTCAGCACAATATTGGTTTTTTGGAAAAACTTTTTATATATTTGAAAGTGGTTTTTAATTTTTTTGCCCGGAATTTCAAGTTTTTCAATAAGTTAATTTGTGCAATAAAGAATACCAGTAGAGCACAATATTTGTTCTTTGGAAATTTCAACTTTTTATTTTTAAAACTATTTTTTGGTTTTTTTACCCGGAATTTAGTGTTTTTCAAAAAATGAATTTCTCGCACAAATTAATGAGCGCAATATTTGTTTTTTGAAAATTTTAATTTTCCTTTTTTTTATGAAATTTGTTTTAGATTTTTGTAAATATAAACGTTTCTATGTCAAAATTTTAAAAATTTACAATTTTTATCTTTAAATGAACTATTTTAATCTTCGATTAATTAAGGCGTTAATTATTTTTTATAAATAATAATTAATTATTCATATAGTTAAATAGTTAATTATTCTTATTTTAATCCATTTTATTATTAAAACAATACCCCACAATTTACTGTGAATAATTACTTTTAAGGAATTTGTTATAAAGTAAAATTAAAAAAAAAATTATTTTTCTAATTTTAATCAACATTTATACAACATCTTTTCAAAAAAAAAACAATAAGTGCTTTTTTTTATTTGAACAGCTGAAAATTTCATAAAATTCCTATAAACTCTTCAAGAGTAATAAAACTGTATGTTTACAAAACGATTTGTTTATAAATAGTTTGAATTGTGTTGAACTATAATGGTAGGTTAAAATAAAAAAAAGAGGAAAAATGTTTTTGAGAGAATAAAATAGAACACAATTGCAAATGGAGATGAATTTTAAAAAAAAGTTATTATTTTTTTAGTAGAGAATTTGTAATTTACTACTAATTTGAGATAAAAAAAAAAAAAAAAAATTTTGAAAATTTTAAAATTTTTCTCCTTAAAAAATTTGTTCTAAAAGTCAATATTTGGATGTTATTAAATTATATATATGCAAAAATGTTGAATATTTTTGAGAAAATAAGTTATTATTCCTAAGGATTGTTCTGTCACATGCTTGACTTGCACTTAGGTACGTCATAAAATTAGATTATACATATTTCTGAATTTCTAATATCTTTGGCTGAAGTTGCAAGCAGACGTTTGGCGTGCAAGCCAAACTCCTATTATTAGCTATGTTCCATCCAATGGTATTTGTGCATAAAGCCGCAAGTATATTCAAAACGAAATTTGAAACTTGCGTGTTAACCAAAAAAAAAAAAAAAAAAAAAAAAAATTATAATTCCAAATTCATAATTGGCTTTGAAGAAAGGAATGTTGTTGTTCAGCTTTAAAAAGTTGAAAAAAGAACTTCATAAATTGAAAGTGTGTTCATAAACGTTCATGTATTACGCTATATATTTAATTTAATATCTATATAGAGAAAATGAATATATTTACGATATATTTTTAGAGAAGTCGTTATTTTCATTAACGGTTTAGTGTTGAAAAATGTAGATTGCAAAGATAATAAAATTCTTTGCGCTTTTCGTTAGTTAAAACAGCCAGGTGGGCTATAAATTGACCTTGAGAGGAGGAAGGAGCGAGGTTGAAGAATATTTTCCTTCTAGTGTATACATTAATGGATTAATGAACAAATAAGTTCTTTTGACATTGATGTTTTAAATAATTAGTGTTCAAATTTTATTATACATATATCTCAATTACAAAAATTAAAATTGTACTTTTTTTCGTAATAAACGTTTTGGGTAAAATTTTAAATGCGATCTCGTATATTTTATAAGAAATTTTTTATATGATTTTTAAGTCTGTTTTTTTTCAAATGCGAGACAAAACACTGAAATAAAAAAAAATAAATAAATTTCAATTGGTTCAACTATATCTACTAGAAATTTTTTTCAAGTTTTTTCATCTCTTAATACACAGTAATATATACTTAAGGAGGTACCACCTATTATCGAATAAACAAGCAGTTTTTGGTAAAACTTGATACACTACTAAATAAAGCTTCTAAAATTCTGTAGTTAAATTTTTGAGACCTGTAGGTTCCGGAGAAAAAAGTTCTGATCGATTTATTTTTTCACTGTTTAACATTGATTCTTATGGGAATTCATTACTTTGTCACATATATTTTCATACTATGAAATATTAAACAAACAGATGTTGATCAAAGTTTGTATAGTTAAAGACAGATATGCAATGAACCGGTATTGTATTTAAAAAAGGACAATAGGTTCCTGTGAGAGTTCAAAATAGTTCATTTATAAATTTTTTTTCCACTTTTTGTGATACAGAAAAGATAACTTAAAACATCTGGCAACACGGCATTTCGCGTCTTCACGGTTTCCA